TCAGAGAAGCTGAGAATAGAGTTCAAGAGAGGCAAGTGAGTACAGAGTATGACGAAAGCTCGAAGTTTTATGGTATAAGAGAACAGAGCTCATGAAATAAAGACAAAAAAGTGAGTCATATTTTGACAAGATAGCTGCAATAAATGTCCATTTTAGAAACATAACCAACCAAATGTAAAATATTATTTGAGGCACTGATGCCAAGCCAAACATATAACCACTACTAATAATTAACATGATTATCATTACTGCTAACATTTAGTAAGCAGTTACAGGGCTAGTCATTTTGCAAAGCACCATAATGGATACAATTCCTATAACAGTCTTATGAGATAGACATGATCAACCTCAGTTTATAAATGAAGAAATCAGGGCTTAAAGGGGTTGCATAATTTGCCCACGATTATAACGCTAATTGTGAAAGAAAACTTAGAACTCAAGTCATGTCTGGATGCTGAGATGAGCATGCTCTGCAGCCTCCTCAATTGGTTAGAATAATGAGTCAGTAAACTGTGGGGATATTAACAATTAACTGTTTCCTGCATATTCTTTCAGAAGTACATTTACAGAGGAATAGAAGGTATTTTACTCCACAGTATAATTTTAAAATTTCATATGGAAGACCAAGGAGAGATCCATATGAACACCATAAAAATAACTACCTTTTCACAATATAAAAAAGTTAAAGAAAATTTCTGAAGAAACAGTACAATGTTGGCTTATCCAAAACCAAAAGGGCCTGCTTTTCAAACTATCTATAGGTTCTAAGTAAAGCTAACTACTGAATATAACCAATACATCCCCTGTAAGTAGTTAAACAGAGATAAGGAATGGCAAATTGGCTATGAGGATAGACTGTGGAGTCAGGCTGCCTGAGAACTAATTCTGACCCTACTATAGAGACAGTCTCACTATGTTGCCCAGGCTAGAGTATGCTGGCTATTCACAGGTGCAATTCAAACCCACTAGTAGCCTGGAACTCCTAGTCTCAAGTGATTCTCCAGCCTCGGGCACACACGACCACACTCAGCCTCTTAATCTCTATAATAGGTGTAACAATCTACATCAAAGGAAGTTCAGTTATCCCTGCACGAAAGGAGATTCAGTAAAAAGAACTAAATTAATGTTAGCAATTTTATTATTAAATTGGGATATACAAAGATTGAGTGCTAAGTCATTTTCAATAAATGTTCTCATGTGCCAACACTCAAATGTATTAGGACACATTTACTGATATAATGTATAAGTTTTACTTCAAAATACTCTAACACAAACACACACAAAAAAGAAACAAAAAAAAGTGGGAGGGAAATAGATCAAAAAAGATGGTAAAAAAATTGATAAATGTTGACGCTGGGTGATAGGTACACAGGAATTCATATCATTCTCTACTGTCGTGTATGGCTGAAAATTTCAAAAATCCTTTTAAGGAATTCTCAGGAATAACTTTGATATTTCAAAGCAAAGGCGGGGGGTCAGACTACATAACTATTCTACAGTTTTGTGAACAAAATTTTAATAATTTATGTTTTTGCAAAATGTTTCTGGTGAACAATTGCTTCCCTCTGCTCATGGTCATGACTCTAGTAGTGACCGGCAAAAATACTGCCTATAATGAAACTGAAAGTATGCTGACAGCTTTCCTGGAGACTTTAAAAACAAAGAATATTAATCCCAAACTATTCTGGGCTCTGCACCACTGACAAATATACTTAGAAGTTCTTCTAACTAATAAAAATATTTAGGATTATGTGAGGAGAAAAAAAATTATTCTTAAATCTGGATTGAATTACTGTGATATCTTTAATATTTTAATATACTTTCAAAGTTTTTAATACTAGTATTAAATTATAAGATATACACAGACTGGCTGACCACTTATTTTGAAAAATAATCATAAAATATAATATTTTAAGCGATTGTTTTTGCTGGGAGCTCATCAAAATACTAGAAACAAACAAATGCCACTGTCTTGTTCCTCCAAAACTGTTTACTCTAGATCAAAAGTAATATATTATGAAGTGTTTAGATGATCGCAAATAAAAAGGAACTGAAAATCAATTTCCCTCTATCAATAATTTGTCAGAAAACATTTTCCTCATGATTTTAAGTAACCAAACGTTAAATGTATATATTAGAAACATTTTAAATATTTTATTAAGAAACTTGGACACTGTACACCCTAGCACTAAATATTAATATCACACATGATGAATTGTAGGTGTAATCATTATATAAACATGTTTCTACAGAGACACTGGGAATCAGGACTTCTGTAAAATAAAATGAAACAATACAAAACAAATCAAAGTGAGTATAATTCCCTTCCATTTCTTTCATAGAGCTCAGAAATCAAAATGAGAGCACATTTCTCATTTATTACTCTCATAGTAATAAAAAAATGACTAATTCATAAATGTCCATGTTCTTTCATAAGACTAGAAATTCTAGTAGAAATAGCTCATCATTTTACTATCAACAATAAATTTTTGAGAATTTTTCTAAAACAATCTCTTTTTTGGGACAGTGGTTCTCATATTTGTTTGGATGGCAATGAACAAGCAATTGAGGATACTCTCTATGGAACCCCCCAAATGATCATGTTGTACTTAATAGTAGCTAGAAAAAACTTTACTAGATATCTGTCTATCTATCTATATGTATGTGCAACTCTATAATTACAATTGCAACGTGTGTGTGTATATATGTGTGTGCATATATATATATATATATATATTCTCCAATACAAAAATCCCAACCACAAACTACTATCTATGAAAAACCTAAACAAATTCAGGGCGATTTTTCCATTAACACCGATTTGGTATTTGTTAATAACAACCATAGCTAACGCTCCGAATATTTACTATGTGGCAAGCAATAGGCCAAATTTATCTATATGTGTATCTTACTGAGGGAAGGTGTTCTCTTTCCGGGTCCACAAGGGGGCATATTTTTAAGAACAAGAACTTCATAGTGCCATGCCCCCCTCCCATCTCTCTCCATCCTGGAGATACAATGGTTTGTGTTTGAATTTCGCAGGCATGGGAAGGAACGAAGAGTCAATCACTGCAGCAGAAGTTCTAAAGAACTTTCATTGGCCTGGGGTCTTAGAGAAGGTGGGGGTTCCTCCCAGGTTAATTTCTTCCACACTCCTTTGGACTCCATGTTTGGATCCCCTTCCACAAACACTCCCTTTGTGAAGCTGTTTTTCTCTATCCTGGATTTTCCCTCTACAGTCCCCTTCCACACTCTCTCATGGAAACCTGTCTTCTCCTCCTAAACTCCATCTCTCTCTATTCCCTAACACTCTAGTGGAAGCTGCTTTCCTCTCCCGGATTCCATCTTTCTGGATTCTCCCATTCAGTGTGAGAGCTCTTTCTCCTTCTCCTGTTTCTCTCTCTCTTTAAATAAATCACTTTCTACAAACACTTTTGAGTCCATCATTTACTGCGCACTGCACCGTGGTCCCCTCTCTCATTCATGAGAGGGCAGGAGACCAAGAACCTGGAGAAACGTCCTCTCAGGGGAGCTGAGGGCACCCGGAACCCTTGGACCCCAATATTACATTACTTAAAACTTCCCCATCTCAAAGTATTTAGTATGTGATGGGCGATAGGCCAAACTGATTTATATATATATGTCTTACTTATAACTTATACATCTTACAACCACAAAAGACAGCCATTATTAGTTCATTTGACAGTGAAACAACTGAGATTTCTAACACATTAGATGTACTCTAACCCAAGTTCAAAATACTGGTTAAATGGTAGAGTGAGGACTCCATCCCAAGCTTGATTCAAACTTCTTCTTCTACTCACAACACTATTCTTCTACATTGCAAAATAATATCTAAACAAATTTAAGTATTTTACACAATCATATTTAAATTTTTTAACTAATCAGAAAAGACCAACATTAACCAAATTAAAAAAAAATTTTTTGGAGAAAGGGTCTCACTCTGTCCCCCAGGCCAGAATGCAGTGGCATAATCATGGCTCACTGCACTCTCCACCTCCCCAGTTCAATCAATCCTTCTGCCTCAGTTTCCCAAGTAGGTGGGATTACAGGCATATACCACCATGCCTGGCTAATTTTAAAATATTTTTTGTAGAGGACAGAGTCTCACTATTTTGCCTAGGCTGGCCTTGAACCCCTGGGCTCAAGCGATCCTCTCACCTCAGCCTCCCAAAGTGCTGGGATTACAGGCATGAGCCACCATGCCCAGCCAACATTAATCAGTTTTAAGAGTGGAACATTAGTTTAACTTGAAGAATCACTTAAAAGTTGCTATGAGAAGACTCCTATTAATTATGTATTCTGAAAATGACTCCTAAGTTCCAAATTTAACGTGCTTTTGTTAAGCACACAGGGAAAAAATCCAGCTGTGTCAGCTGGATCTCAAATAAAGGCCTTCTTATTAGAGCATAAACCAACTGTAAAATCAGTCCACCCAGCTAAATACTCAAAAGACAGAGATTTTTAGAGAATAGATGTTTTAGGGGATAATAAACTAAATCCACTCTGCCTTGTTTTTGGCAACTTTGGGATTTACTTTATTTGAAGGAGGTACATGGGCCAGTGTTGTCACAAAAGAAAAAGACAAATAACTCTTAGTCTTCAGTGTAACTGCTATTTGCTAAAGAAAATATTACTAATATATTTAGTTCTATAGGGAGTCCTCTGTCCGTATTATCATTAGTATCAATAATTTTTAATTTTATAATATTAGAATTAGCATATTTATAGCCATAGTCAGAAAGCCAGAAAACTATATAAAAATAATTCTTTCAATGAGAACTATGAAAAAATTATTCAGCAGCACAGCTCAAATGTGTCTAGCTCAATTCAACTTAAAATCTTATTATTCTGGAGTGAAATTTTACAAAAAGACAAATGTCTTTAGTCTTCTTAGAGAGCTACTAAAGACAAGAAAATCTGTTAAATAATCATTAAATTTTAAAATAATCTTAAATGAAGGCTTAAAATATGTGTACCTTACAATATCCATTGCCTGGTAAAGTATTTCAGATTGATCAACTCCCAGAACCTTCTTTGCCCCAGCCTTAGCAGCAAACATAGAGAGAATTCCAGTTCCACACCCAACATCCAAAACTACCTGTGGTAATAAAACAAACAAACAAACAAACAAAAAACAGATGTTATCAAAAAGGTCTTTTATATTAAATTCTATCCATATATTATGATGTTTCTGACTAGAAAAAGATCACAATAAAAAATGTTAAACTTTACTAAACAAATACACAGTAATTTCCAATTGGGAAAACTGAAGATATTATTACTATGAGTTGTTTTAAATTAATAACAGTATACTTGGCCATAGTCTGTTGTAATTAGATCCAACAATGCTAAATTTAAGAGATTTTTATATAAAAAAATTATTTCTAAAAAAAAAAATTATGTCTGTAGCTTTAATAGAGAATTACTGTTTTTAATTTCCCTATTGTATGTATATTCTATTTTAGGCTAATTCTACATTTTAACAGAAATAAATTTCTTCAAGTTTGAGAGGCAGGAATTAACTTGAGCAGGATAGCCTGATTCAATACAATTTAAAAAGGGTTATAAAGTAATCAAGGATATGGAATATCACTACATCCTTCCTACCCCCAAAATTAAATATTCAGCCCATTTTAACAGTAAAGTACAGTAAAAATAAGTTAGCTGTCAAAATTCAGTAACTTGAGAGTTTAAGTTATAAAAATGGTAATTCTTGGTGAAAGAAAAGTATTTATTAGAACCAAAAGCTTAAGATGCTATCAGGAGTGGGTGGGGAGCAATTATTTACGTCAATAATTTAATATGATTTTCCCTGGAATAGTATAGGGAAGCCTACTTAGTTTACAGTAAAAACAAAAGCAAGTCACCAAGGAAACACATTTAGCAAAATCCTTGTAAGTATATTATTCTGTGAAATTACTGAAAACTAGTGCTTTAAATCTTTCATTATCAACGGCCTAAAAATCATATATACTTGTTCCAAAATATGAAGTTATTTCAGTACCCTCATACTGTAAGTATTCACTAAGCATTACTAAGTACCAGGAACTGATTTCAGTGATGGGGTACAGCAACAAACAAGACCAAATCCTTGACTTAATGGCACACACAATCTTGTGAGAGAGAGAGAGATAATGAATAAACAAAGAACATACAATAAGGTCAGGCAGTAAGAAAAATCAAGCAGAGCAGAGGTTAAGACCAGAGGAGAGGAAAAACACTCTTTCTTGTACCATTCTAGATAGGTCTGACAATATCTCTCTGATACATGTGAGCAGACAACTGAATAAAGAAGAGTGTCATGCAAAGTTCTAGGGAATTGCATTTCAGTCATGGAGGGTGTTAACTGCAAGGCCCAATATTCCAGGCAAAGCCAAGATGGCCAGTGCGGCTGAGCTGGGTTCAGAAAGAGGACACTTGGTGAAGTCAGATCACAGAGTACCTTGGATTTTACTCTGAGTAATGAGAAACTATCCTAAGAAAAATAAAAGTAGAATCCAGAATCGATTCTACTGTATACCAATTTTTTTTCTCACTAGGCAATAGAATATCGTTTAAACATCAGGTACATTTCCTATCCTTTAAAAATTTTTTTATGTACATTACAATTCAATACATGTTTTTCCTTTTCCTTTTACACATGATAGCATATTATACCCACTGTGCTACATACTGCTTTTTTTTTCTTAACTATACAAATTAGAGATCTCTCCATAACAATTTATGTAACTCCTTTCTTTTATGTAGCTGTATAGGATTCCACATTATGGCTGTATCACAATCCAGTTCTCTGCTGATGAACATTTTAGGTGTTCTCAAAATCTTAGTAGGACAATAAATGCTGTAAATAACCTCATATCTAAGCCCATTCCCATGAATTAGTAATCTAAAGAATATATTCCTAGAAGTGAAAACACTTATGTCAAAAAGTATATACATATCTCTAATTCTGCTAGATATAACCAAATTGATCTTACAGGGCAATTCCGCTAATGAAGACTCCAATGAGCAATGAATTAGTACCAATTTCCTCACAGGTGAGACTAGCCTATGAAACATATAATGAAACTTTTGGATGTCTACCCATCTGGCAATCACAAAATAACAAGTTAATTTAGTTTTAATATGCATTTCTGAGATTTAGCATCATTCCAGGTAGTCATCTGTAATTTTATGTGAACTATCTTGTCTCCATTTTTCCACGCGGTTGCTAGTCCTTTTCTTATCAATCTGTCTTAGCATATAAGAGGTCTACGTAAATTAAGATTAGCCCTCTATAATCCTCTAGAGTATGACATGCAGTGTTTTCTCAGAGCATGTATTTTTGTCTTTTGATTCTACTTAGTGATTTTTGCTATGCCCAAATTCTTTACCTACAATTAAACTTATTAATCTTTTCTATAATGTCTTCTGGACTTTGATCATAATTAGATAGGCCTTCTCCAGTCTATCCCATTTCATCCTCATACATTTCCTTCCAGTACATTCACAGTTTCATTAACATAGTTTGTTTTTCAACCATGGTATACACTAGGAGGCATGGTTCCAACATTTTGTTCAAATGACTGACCACTTGTCCCAGTATCAGTTATTAAACAAGATTTCCCCCACTGATTTGATATGTGACCTTTAACATTCATTTAAATATTTGTGTATATTTGCATTTATTAGTGGATTTTAAATCAGTTCTGTTAATCTATATATTCATGTGCCAGGAATTATTTTAGTTACTGAAGCTTTATAAAATGGTTTAATATCTAGTAAGTCTGGTCCATGCTCACTGCAAATATTTTTCCACATTGTTTCTGGAAAACTTTTTATGTTTATTTTTCCATATAAGCAAGAGATTGGTTTGTCTAGGTTTAAAAGTCTTAGCATTTTTATGAGAACTGAACTAAAATTCAGGAAAAAGAATTGTGAGTTTTCCTATTAAAGAACCTGGTATGACTTCCAGTTCGTTTAAATTGTCTGTTAGGTACTTTAGTTGTTTTTTTAAAAAATCTTTTCTTATATAAGTGCTGCATATTTCTAGTCGTTCACTTCTTTGCATTTTAAGTTCTGTATTACTTACTATTATAAGTGAAGTTTTCCTTCCATTATATCTTTATTTTCTTAATTTTTGAGTCAGAGTCTTACTCTGTTGCCCAGGCTGGAGTGCAGTGGCACAATCTCAGCTAAACGCAACCTCTACCTCCCCGATTCAAGTGATTCTCCTGCCTCAGCCTCTCAAGTAGCTGGGATTACAGCGGTGTGCCACCATGCTCTGCTACTTTTTTGTGTTTTTAGTAGAAGTGGGCTTCACCATGTTGGCCAGGCTGATCTCAAACTCCTGACCTCAAATGATCTGCCCATCTTGGCCTCCCAAAGTGCTGGGACTACAGGTGGGTGCCACCATGCCCAGCTCCTTCCATTATATATTGAAAATATAATTTATTAGTATTGACTCCAGAAGAGAGAAAAATCTTAATAGCCTGATATCCACTGAAGAAATAAAGTTGTCGAAAGGCTACTACTTTGTGCTTCCTATCTTACGCCCAGATGGTTTCAGTGGGAATTTGATTGTTCTTGAACACATTGGCCTGTCTGGGTGAGTAAATAGATCTTAACATAAATACTTTTACAATCATTAAGAACTTTAACATGTAATCTATATACATCATTGCAAACAAAAAGGATTTTTTAAAAGTTCCAGATAAATTGTATTAACCAAAGTAGCAAGAAAACAGTATACTATATAGTATATATGTATATAGTACAATTGAAGTACATCAACTTGAAATATATGGAAGAAAATGAAAATAAAATAGAAAAATACACACAATAGAATAGTATGTAATAAGTTTCCAGAAACTCTCATTAAAATAAAACATTTACAAAACTAAAAAACTAAAAATAAAAGATTAGTGTAGAATATAGAAGTTCACTAAAAGTGCTTTGGTGATAGTATCCGGGAAGACCAACACTCCCTTGCTGTGTACCAACGACAAGCTGGTAGCACAACTGGTGACACCATACATGGTATATACCCTTTTTGACTTAGGGAGACCATTGCTAAAGAATTACTTTATAATTGTACTCCCATATATATATATATATATATATATATAATATTTATATATATTTTTAATATTTTATATGAAGCATTATTTCTAATATAAAAACTGAAACAACTTATGGACACTCTTACAGTGGATATATGAACCATTAAAAGAATATTAATGAAAAGATGCTCAAAAATCACTAATCATTTAGAAAAACACAAATCAAAACAAGTATTACCTAACACCAATTAGGATAGTTATTATAAAAAAACCAGAAAACCACAAGTATTGCTAAGGATATGGAAAAACTAGAACGCTTGTGTACTGCTGGTAGGAAAACAAAATGGTATACCCACTGCAAAAAACAGCACGGTGGATCCTCAAGAAATTAAAAATGGAGTTACCATATGACCCAGAAATGAAATTTCTGGGTATATACCCAAAATAATTAAAAGCAGGACCTATAAGAGATAGTTGTACACCTATGTTAATAGCAGCAATATTCACAATATCTTTAACATAGAAGTAACCCAAACATCCATAGAAAGATGAATGAATGGATAAGTAAAATATTCTACATACATACAATAGATTATTGAGCCTTAAGAACAAAAAAAATTCTGACATTTGCTACAACAAGGTCAAACCTTGAGGACATTACCCTAAGTGCAATAAGCCAGTCATAAAAGGAAATATAGTCAGCCACTTGTATCCCCGGGTTCCCCATCCAAGGAGTCAGTCAACCAACCACTAATCGAAAACATTAGGGAAAAAAATTTGCAACTGTACTGAACATGAAGTCTTCTTTCTCTAGTTACTATTACCTAAACAATACAGTATAGGCCGGCCTCAGTGGCTCACGCCGGTAATCCCAATATTTTGGGAGGCCAAGGCAAGCGAATCACGAAGTAAGGAGACCATCCTGACTAACATGGTGAAACCCTGTCTCTATTAAAAATACAAACAATTAGCTGGGCATGGTGGCATGTGCCCGTAGTCCCAGTTACTTGGGAGGCTTGAGGCAGGAGAATCGCTTGAACCCAGGAGGCAGAGGTTG